TAGTAAATTTTGACATATCTAAACATCTCTGAAATCATCACCACCTTCAAGAGAATGGGTGTATTTGTCTCCTTGAGTACTTTCTTCTTGGCTCTTAAAGGTTCTTCCTTGTGTCTCCTACCACATCACTCCTACCTTGGGAAACCACTGATCACTTTCTGGAAACATGTAGATAACTGATATTTCTCATTTGCTGTAGAATTGCATTCACTATAATTATCCTGATAATAATTCATATCTTCTATAGGGGTTTTATGTAGTGGAAAGCATGTATGTACTGTTACTTTTTATTCTTTATCCACCATAACTGTTGTGAAGTTAGTAATTGCACAAATCACTGGTTTCTTACTTTTATTTCTGCATAGTCTGACTTTCCATCTACCATGATTTCATTATCTTAGAGTTATCTGTACTTTAGCGTTACAAGTAAAACTACTCTGAACATTCCCATTGCGCATAAATGAACATTTGTGTATAAGACTATATGATTAATGTTTTTTTCCTTTAAGTCATTTGCTAATAACATGTCTAATATTTTCAGAATTTGTCAAACTGTTTCCCCAAGTAATTTTGTGATTTGGCTTTCTGGAAAAGGCTGTGAAATTCTCATTTATTTACACACATTTTTCCCCCCCCCCCCCCCCCCCCCCCCCGGGGGGGGGGGGGTGGAGTCTTTTTTAGAGTAAGCCATTTGGGCCTGGATATTTCTCCGTTGGGAGTGTTTAATTATGTATTCAATCTTTTCAAAAGTTATATGACCATTTTGGTGTGATTTCATTCATTGAGCCACATTTTTTAAAATTTAAATTAGAAACAAGCTTCTTTTACATGTCAGTCTCAATTCCCTCTCCCTCCCCTCCACACCTGCCCCCACCAACTCCCTATCCCAACCCCTTTCTGCTCCCCAGAGAGGGTGAGACCTTCCATGGGGATCTTCAAAGTCTGTCATATTTGGATCAGAGCCTAGACCCTCCCCAGTGTGTCTAGGCTGAGAGAGTATCCCTCTATGTGGAGAGGGCTCCCAAAGTTCATTCATGTACTAAGGGTAAATACTGATCCACTACCAGTGGCCCCATAGATTGCCAAGACCCACAAACTGACACCCACATTCAGGGGGTCTGGAACAGTCCTATGCTGGTTTCCCAGCTGTCAGTCTGGGGTCCATGAGCCACATTTTTTAATGTCCTCTGTGTCTATAACATGTCTTGTGATGCTGAGGACTTAATGCAAGATCTTGCACATGCTAGGTCTGCACTCTACCACTGAACTACTTGTGCTTAGCCAGCCCCCAATGTACTTTTTTGCATTCCTACCAGTCATCAGTGTTTCAGCTTCACACCTTCCCAGTGTGATATTTTCTGTCAATTCATCATTTTGATAAATGTGAAATAGGATCTTATTGTGGGTTTTCTTGGCATTTCCCTGTAATCTAATGATACTAAACTTGTACTTATGTTTGCCACATTTACACACTTTTAAACTTGATAAAAACTAATATATCCATCTTTGCTTATTAATCAGTTTTAGCTTCTCAATATCTTCTTTTGTGTCTAAGTTATCTTTGTCCATGCCAAAGTCAGAAGGACTTTTTAATAGATTTTTCTCATTTAAGCCTATATATGTGGTCATAGAAACAGTTTTTATATATGGTATAAAATGTGGATTAATATTCTGATTTTCACAACACTTTGTTATGACTTTTCTATTATTTCATTATCATTGCTAATCTTTCTATACTAAATTGCCTTTCTGAAAAAATCTAATCATCTATATAGGTATTGGAAGTTTATTTGGATTTTTCTATATCTATTGATCCATCTTGACACGGGTGCTAATGCTATGCTGTCTTGATTCTCATAGGTTTATATAATAAGGCTTGAAATCAGGTAATAGCAGACCTCCAATTCTATTTTCTTCTAAGATATTATTTTGATTAAGTCCTTTGCATTTTCCTATAACCCTTGAATGAGATTATTCATCTCTATCAAAAATTTATTGGAGTTGCATTTAATCTGGAGTACTTTAAAGTTTTTGGTAACAGAGGAAGGTGTGTCCTCTCTGGTATTTTCCATGGTTACTTCTTATTTCCTTGCCCTTTCCACCTCTAGTAAAGGGCCCTGCTGTGTTCCACTTAGGCTTCTATTCATGCACTGCTGACTGGATAGTTCTCTGCTATTTGCAAGTGTGATAGTGATCAAAAGGCTTGCCTTGTTTGTTTTTGTCATTTCTGAGAAACCACTAACTGTCATTGCTACTTTCTCAATGTCTCAGAAACCATTAGTGCATGTGTTTTTTCTCTTTGGTTTTGTCCTTTTTTTTTCTTGTGCCAGACTGAAAGAAAATAAGGGCCTATTGCCATATCTTAGAAAGAAGTAGTTGAAATGGTGTTTTCCAGAAAGGGGTGCATTTGGCCTTGTGTGACTTATTTAGAAATGTACTTTATTTTTTGAGCCACCAGGTCAAGGGACTCTTCATGGGTCTCTGAGACTTAGTGGTGAAAATAGTACACTTGCTTTCATAAAGCTTAAAATCTAGTACAGCCATAATGGAAATCAATGTGGAGGTTTTGATAGGGGAGGGAGGGAAGGAAGGACAGAGGGAGGGAGAGATAGTGAAAGAGAGAGAGGGAGGGAGGAAGGAGAGAAGCAGAGGAAGAAAAAAGGAAGGAAGGAAGGAGGAAGGAAAAAAGAAAGAAGGAAGGAAGGAAGGAAGGAACGAAGGAAGGAAGGAAGGAAGGAAGGAAGGAAGGAAGGAAGGAAGGAAGGAAGGAAGGAAGGAAGGAAGGAAACCATCTTAGTTAGGGTTACTGTTGATGTAATGAAACACCATGACCAAAAGCAACTTGCAGAGGAAAGGATTTATTTTGCTCACACTTCTATATAACAGTTCATCATCAAAAGAAATAAGGGCAGTAACTCACTCAGGGCAGGAACTTGGAGGCAGGAGCTGATGCAGAGGCCTTGGAGGAATACTGCTTATTGGCTAGTTCCTTGTGTCTTGCTCAACCTGCTTTCTAATAGAACCCACGACCACCTGCCCGGGGATGGCACTGCCTGCAATGGACTGGGTCCTCCTCCATCAATCACTAATTAAGAAAATGCTCCACAGGTTTTCCTGAACCCTCACCTATGGAGGAATCTTCTCAATTGAGGTTACCCCCCCTATCAGATGAGTATAGCTTGTGTCAAGTTGACATAAAACTAGCCAGCACAAAAACTAGCAATATACTACTATATGAATCAGGTGTACAATTCCTGAGCTTTGTCTAAAGCTCTCTATACACCACCACAGAGATACTTGTACATTTTTGATTATTGCTGTTCTCTACACAATGGCAAGGAAATGGAACCGGCCTAGATGTCCAAAAACAGATGAATGAATAAAGAAAATGTGGTACACATACACAATGGATTGTGTTCAACCATAAAGAAGAAGGAGAATAGATGGAATTAGAAAATATCATATTGAGGCAACCCAGATTCAGCAAGAGAAATACTATGTATTGTCTCTCATATAGATATCCTAGCAAATTTTTAAAGATGTGCATTTATATGGGAGTGACTTTGTGTAGATGCCAGGAAACTGGAAAGGGGCCTGTGAGAGGAGACAAAGGAGGTTTCAAGGGAGAGGAGCAGGGAAGGTAATAGAACAAGTGTGGTCTGAACATGATAAGAAGAAACTGGGTGTGGAAATGTTTAAGCTGACTTTGACACAGAGAGATGATGGAGAGGAGTCAACAACAACAGTAATAATAATAATAATAATAATAATAATAATAATAATAAGAAATCTAGTTAGGAGACAGAAAATAAACTAAGTGAAAATTTATGTTTGTTTAAGTATAAGTATTTATGTAAAAAAGTGATAAATGCTAAAGACAAAACAATAAAAATTCAGGGAAGAAAGAAATAGGAAGTGTTGGGTAGAGGGTGGTACATCAAAGTTTAGATACATTGAGTTGGAAGGCCTTTGTGAGAACGGTGTATTTGATTGGAATCCTGTAAAACAGAGCAAGGAATCTATACAGATAGTTGGATGAAGAACTGAGTTCTCTGCATATATTGAACAGCCAATACAAAGGGTCTGATAGGTATAAGGTATAGTAAGGGATATTTGTAATTATTACATTACTGGAGCAGAAGCTCACAAAAAATGCTAGCTAGCTATTTCAATTCTCTGAAAGGAGAAACAAAGGTATGACCTAGAATTATGTGACTCAGTACTCACCCACTTACTGTTTTATTTTCTTTTACTTTCAATCATGAAATATATGTTAGCTTTTGGTTGTACATACAATGTTTATGTTAATTTTCCCACTGTTACACAGGCATTCCACATGTTAACAATTCTCATCACAGCTATTCTTGCACTCATCCAGCTCATCTTATAAACAATATCGAAGGCACTTTGGATTTTCTTCTCAGTTTTATTTTACTTCTATCTTTTAAATAATTAATGTGCCATATTATGAAATTTTCTGTAGGAAAACAAAATAATATGAGAGAAAACCAAGTACCTTCTTTTTATTCTGCAGCATTGAGACAAACCTATCTAGATCCTTAAGTGTCCTTTTAGAACTATTGAGTACATATATGTCTATGTATATGAGTGTGTTTAGTAGTCCTTTACCCTCACCTACACCCATACAAAGCAGCTTGACAACCCTGTTGGGTAGTTGCTGATATCCTTATATTCTCATTGAGAGAGGATGCTGAAACTCAAAGGTCTTATCTGAAGTCTCACTGGTAGTAAGTATAAAATCTACAGTTGCCTTACTATTTTTTATCTGCACAATTTCTCTACACTGAGGGGATCAGTTCTATGCATTCATCATTGTAGGAGACATCTGAACATTTGCTGGGAGTTAGAGGGAGCCAGAAAATTCTCCCAGTCCCATTAACCATTTCAGTATTCACATAGTCAACCAGTTACAGTTCTGGAATGCATCAGTGAGTAGCTTGCCTAATTGTCTCCTGGCTATCTTCCTTCCTTCTCTACAGATATATTTAGGTCCACCTGAGGACAGCCAAGTACCTCCAGTGCCTCCACCTCGGGTGACAGCAAGAAGGCACAAACCAATCACAATCTCGAAACGTTTGCTGAGAGAAAAGACAGTGTTCTACACTTCTTCCCTGGATGAAAATGAAGGTCAGTGGTTAATTTCTCCATGACAATTGCATACAAAGAGAATATTGAAGGGCAGAAATGGGGGTGTGCCTATTTCTTCTATACAGTGGTAGACCCTTACAAGTTCTTTGGCTTACAAGCAGCCAGGAGAAGCAAGACTTATTATAGTTTGTATTCTAAGAGCAAATTAGATTACTGGCAGTCGATGGGGCTGGGGTGAATCTTTAATGGAAGCTACATATCACTTGCAAGGTTAGCAGCAAATCCAAGTTCTTCTTAGGTGTGTTACTTTAGTACATTGAAATATGTTAACAAGGTTCTTGCTAATGTTCTGAGAGTGTAATTTAAATACAGCTACCATGGATTGAATAACTGCCATGTTTCAAGTAATTTGATAGAGGCCAAATGAAATTCAGCCACATGCCCCTACCCTCATGGAGCTTGTAGGATAGAGAAAGATATGGATATGTGAAAAAATAAAATCATCCAATGGAACGACTATTCCTGAAGAGATTGCACCTATCCTATGTGGGCCTTGGGTCCCTGCCACTCCACTCAGACTACTTATATCAAAGATTCCTATAACCTCCTCATGACCGAACCAGTCACTCCACTATTCTTGTGAGATGGTGAGCAACATATGACAGTTAACTGCTTTTCCTTCTTTTTCCAATTTTGATATTTGAAGGTTCCAAAGTTATTAACCTTCCCTCTGCTGTTATTGTACACCATCTCTCTAAGTCTCTAGTGTGTAAATAGCGTTTAAATTCTGCAGATGACTCCCAGATTTTTTTGTAACATAGGATTTGTTCTACCTTTTATTGTTATCTCAAAATCTGTTGAACTGTTCTACACACATTGACTCACTGATGTCTAAAATTCGAAATTCAAGATGAATAGAACATGATTTGTATTTTATTTTAATGGTGGTGGCTAGAATCTAGGACTTTGTACAATGACAATGATCATTCTGTTGCTAAGCTACACACTCCTTCCTCAGCCCAAAGCACAGTTCCTGGTTATCTGTTGCTTCTGACCATACTCCTTTGGTGATCCCTCCCTTTTAAACAACTTTCAGCTCCAGTTACCTGAACACTGAGGTCAAGAACATTGGTCTTTTCCTGGTGGCTCTTTTCCTTTTTTTCTTACATTAGACCCATCAGCAATTCATTTTGGCTGTGGATACACATCAGGTGGTAAATCCTTAGTTTCCCTTTGGACCACACACACTGAGGCTTTACCATCCCTTCCCAGCTGTCTGTGCTGGCCTGCTTGACTGCCTCTAATCCATTCTCCAAAGCAGCCAGTAAATTGTCCATCCTTTCAAAAATGCAAAGCACATGACCTCATTCCCTCTGCTCCAAACTTTCAGTGACCTCTCATCATGTTTCGAATAAAATTTGTTTTTATGCTGTTTTCAGTGACCCCTGCTTATCTATCTGAACTTTCTTTATGTACTTTCTGTCCCCTTCACTCACTCTCCTCTAGTTTCATGAGCCTTGGTATTCCTTATGGGTCTCAAGTTTACAAATGCCATCTCCTTGTAGAGACCTTTTCTCAGCACCCAAGTTAAACAGTTCTTCCTATCCCTTTACACTGCTTTGTCTTATTCATGTCACCTGCTACTACTTGATGACATATTTAGTATCTACTTTCCCCCTAAGAATGTTAGATCTATTTTTATCACCAGGTCTGGGAACAGTCCCTACGGTGGGTGTGTGTGTGTGTGTGTGTGTGTGTGTGTGTGTGTGTGTGTGTGTGTGTGTGTGTGTTTAGTACATGTTTATAATGTGAATGAATGGATGTATTAGGAATTTGAATAGAAAGAGATTATCTAGCTTATGGATCATTTCCATAGAGGTAGAAGTAGAAAATGGATGGGAGCACTGAATGATTGGGGTTTTTTGCCCCATAATTAGATATTTTTATGAAATAACTTTATTTATAATGTTCCCCCCAAAACCCTTATGCCAGCAGAAACATTTTTAGCACTTTATACCCTACACTACCATAGCACTTGCTACAGAGTAAGTGCCCAATTAATGAGTGTATTAAATGAATGAACTGGGTGTCAGTAGACCCAAGGTCTCATTTCATTTTGGTCACTAGCCTGTTAAGTAATTTGAACTAGCCACTTCCCCTATCTGGGGTTCATTTTTCCCTGCTCTATGGTGAGGGATTTGTACCAGATCTTCAGTGAGATTATAGTCTGCACGTTAATTCTTTTCATTTTTGTAGCTCAGAAAATGTAAGTAATTTGTCCAGTTAACTACTACCAAATTATAAGGCAATGATTTTACATCCTTACATTTTATCCCAAATCCTAAACATAACATGTGCCTACTAAACATAACACCGTACTTCTTAAAATGTGCCATTTGTCCAGTTAACTACTACCAAATTATAAGGCAATGATTTTACATCCTTCCATTTTATCCCAAATCCCATGTGCCTACTAAACATAACACCGTACTTCTTAAAATGTGCCTAGACACCATTCTAAGTAGAAAGCAGTCCTACTCAGCACTTTTCTTGATTTCCAAATTTATTTTCTGTTTGTGAATAATATTTTAGTAAATCCTTCCCCAATCATCATAGAACTATATCATCATATCCTATATCAAATCTTTGGCCATTCTAGCTCTGTTTTATTTGTTTGACACAGGGTCTTACTATGTGGCCAAGGCTAGAAGTAAACTTTCAATCCTGCATCAGCTTCCCGAGTGCTAGGATTACAGGACTTGCAACTAACTACAACTTACACCTATCTGTTCTACCTCGTTGGCAAAAAAGACTGTGTTTCTTTACTGGTGCTGTTTTGGTTTAGGCCATTGTCATCAGCATTCCCATATGTCACCAAATCACTACTTTGATTTTCATACTGAACCCAAGTAGATGTTCTGGAAACATATATTTGACAATGCTTCCTTTCCACCTACCAGAGGTAATGTTCATATTCCTAAGTGTGACATTCGGGCCTTAAAGAAATAGCAGCAAACTATCATAAACAAATATCTAGCTTCTCACATCTCTTACCATAAATGCTCAAGACAAACTGAACTTATTATATACGTTTTAGAGATGTTTTCTTGTTTTAAAGTTATCTTTCATTTTTGAAATTATAATATGTTTACATCATTTCCCCTTTCCTTCCTTCTTTCATAGCCTCTATTTCAAATTCATAGCCTCCTATTCCATTGATTATTGTAACATGCAGATACTCAGTCTGTATCATGGAATGTTTTCTTACCCAGCATGACATTTTTACTCCTCCAAGCTATTGTTTGTCTGAACAATTTTGATTCATCTATACCCTCCACCCATTTCTCAGCCAGAGTTCAACAATTAATTCTAAATGATCGTTATAATAATTATAGATAAATTAAAAGAAAATAAAACAGTAATTACTTAAGATTAGTTGTCTAGTTAATGTTTAAATTTTCCCATTATCTCATTACAAAACACAGTTCCCAATAAGGTCCCTGTGTTATCAGTGGTGGATCCACCTCTCAAATGCCTCCTTTTGCTGAACAGAGACAGTATGCTTAACTATCGAGTTCTAATACAGCTTTATTTACATATCTGTTGTTATTTTTTGGTGTGGTGCTGAGAATGAAACCTACAACCTTGCACACTCTTAAGTTTCCTAGTATTAATGAAGGTGATAACTTCCAGAGTAGATGTTATTAATCTGGGCATTTGTGGGTTGTTTCTGGAAACAGTGAATAACTTAAAGTTAGTTTTCAAAATTTTAAATACATGTGTGTGGGCTTATTTTTCTAGAAAAAGATTTTCTGGCTGTTATTGTGTTCTTTGAAGCTTTAACTATATTCAAAATCACTTAAAAGCTTATTCTAATGGACATAGGAAATTATGGACCACAAAGGCCAAAGGAAGAATGTAAATTGGGCATTTGAGGATATCTTTATATGGATGGAGAAAGAAATTCAATTCTTTTAGGCTTGTTAACTTGAAATTTGAGGAACCTTAAGAAATTGCTTTTGAAAGAACTACTTGGGAATTAGTTGATGCGATTATTTGGAAAGAGTAAATTATGCAATTGATTGGGCACTCTGTCCTTTTTGAATTGCATCCCCCTGAATAAAGCAGCTTGGCATACTAGAGTTTATTCGATGGTGTTGGTAAAAGTCAGATGAAAATCTTAAATTGAACCTCATTTGAATGAGACCTGTGACTCCGTACAAATTGGGCGGGGTGGAGACTGTTCTTGTGGGATGTAGTCGGTCTGTACTGTAATAATAACAATTTTGAAAATGTGTGCAGATTTTTAAAGTTAGATATGTATATGTGCATCAAAACAAAATGATTTTGAAGGGCATCATTAATCTTTCTTCTTTGTACCAACTTTTTTCAGATGAAGCCCAGCGTCAAACTCCTAATGGTACAATCACTAGCAATCTGGATACCCCCAAGCTACCACAGCACCTCAAACTACCCATTCAGAAAAGTGGGGAAACTGACCTTGGAAGAAAGTCTCCAAACAGACCTGTTTCTGACAGCCAGCCGGAGTCCTGCCCAGAGGTGGATGTGGGGAAGTTGGTATTTAGATTGCAGGATGGAGGGACCAAGGCTACTCCAAAGGCCACCAATGGACCTGTGCCAGGCTCTGGACCCACCAAGACACCCCCTTTCCCTATAAAGAGACAAGCTCCCCGACCAGTGGCTCCCCACAAGGAAGGTAAATGTTCAGGAATCCTATGAGAGGCTGAACTGAACCAAGCTCCTTTCACCTTAGAAACTCTCTAGGGTTGGATGTATCTTCCTTCCTTGTTCTCGCCCTGCTTCTCTCCCTCCTGTGACACTTCCTCCCATTCCTTGCTTTTTTTATTTTAATTTTTCAAATTAGCTTACAAAGTAATTAATAGGTTTCAGTATGAGATTTTAATAAACTTTCATTTTAGTTGATTCTCACCCCCCCATTTCCTTTATTCCCCTTTCCTTGCTGTTTATTTTTACCCTCAATATTCCCCCTTCCACTTTGTTCCGGTTTCTTCCCTACCTGCTCCCTTAGAGCCTCTTTTTGTTTCCCAGTCACATGGGTCTGTTTCTAGTTTCCTGTCCTTTTCTCATATTTACTACCCCTTGTGTAGGTGTATTTTACAGTTAGAAACTAAGATATTCACATGAGAGATAACATACTGCAGCTGTCTTTCTGAGCCTGTGTTGACTGGCTTAGCAAAATTTGCTTTTATTTTCATCCATTTCTCTGACAAATTTCATTTTTCTTCATGGACAGCTAAGGTTCCTTTGTGTATGGGTACCACATCTTCATTATCCATTTATCTCTTGATGAACATCTGGGCCTAGCTATTTTGAATAGAGATGTAGTATTCATGGATGTGCAACAAATAATGTGGCAGGATATCGAGTCCTTTGAGTTTATGCCCAAGAGTTGTATAGCTGTGTAAAAAGGACGGTCTGTTTTTGGTTTTATAGATGTCTCCACACTACTTTTCATAGTGGTTTCACCATCTTACACCCCTACCAGTAGTATGTTAAGTGTTCTTCTTTCCCCATATTGTTTTCTTGATGCCACCAGTTCTCACTGAGGGAGATGGGATCTCAACGTTGTTTTAATTTGCATTTCTTTGATGGATAGAGATGCTGGACATTTTAAAATATATTTATTCACCATTTGTAATTCTTCCCTTAAGAATTATCATGTCTTAGTCACTGTTCAGTTGCTGCAAAGAGACACCATCACCAAGTCACCTCTTATAAAGAAAGCATTTAATTGGGAGCTTGCTTACAGGATAAGCGATTTAGTCTGTTATCATCAAGGCAGCATGCAAGCAGACATGGTGCTGGCAGAGTTGCTGAGAGTTCTACATCCTGCTCCATAAGCACAGAGTTGGACTGGGTCTGACATGAGCTATTGAAACATCAAAGTCCACCCCCAGTGACTCACTTCTTCCAACAAGGTCACACCTCCTAATCTTTTAAATCCTTTCTAATAGTTCCACACCTAGGGACTAAACATTCAAATATAGGAGCCTATAAGGGTCATTTTTATTCCAAGCACCACAGTGTCTTTTCAGATTGTTGGCCCATATTCTAATTGACAGTTGTTTCTTTTAAAGTTCTAAAACTATTTATTATAGATATTAACTTCTTGTATGTTGTCTAGCTGATAAAGACTTTTCCCCATTCTCTCGACTTTCTATTCTACTGATTTGTTGTGGTGGTTTGTATAGAGAAGCTCTTAAACTCATGTGCTGTACTTGCCAATTCTTTCACTATTTCCTGTTCAGAGATTTGTTGTCTGTAACTATATCCTTAAGTTTTTACCCTTTGTTTCAGTGTTTCCAGTTTAAACTCTAGGTTTTGGATTGATTTTGAATTATGTTTTGTGCAAGTTGAGAGAGATGAAATCGAATTTCCTTATTTTGCACTAGTGATTGAGCTTTGCTGGCACTGTTTGTTGAAAGGGCTGGCTTTCCTCCAGCACACGTTTTTGACACTTTTATCAAAACTTAGGTTTCCATAGCTTGCGGGTTTATTGCTGGTTCTTCTCTTGGCCTATACGTCTGTTCTGTGCCAGTAGCTGTTGTATTACTATATCTCTATAGTGTAATTTGAGGTCAGGTAATGTGATGTCTCTGGGTTCCTTCTGCTTAGAATTGTTTTGACTATACTATGTTCTTTCAGATTTCCTACAGATTTTAGGATTGTTTTCTGTCTCTACAAATAATGAATCTCAACATGTAGCCCATTAAGGCCTTGTTCATTATATCCTCCTGTCTCAGCCTCCGGAACCTCCTGAATGCTGGACTTGTAGGCATGAATCATTTTACCTGGCCAGAGATACTTTTAAAGGGAATCTGTTACTGTTTACTAGCATAGTGCTGGAACATGGGTAAAAAAAAATGTGGTGTGGAATGAGGAACTGGGAAGCAGGATAGAAGAGAAGTGCCAGCAATGGAGTTGGTGTGTGAAGTGTGCATGAAGCCGTTCACACTTGCTGAATAGCATCATTGATTTCTTTCTAGAGAGGAGAGAGAGGGGAGGGGAGAGGTATTTTAGAGTATATATACAGGCAGAGGGAAGGTAGAGGAAAAACAAGCCTGTCTAGATAAAGCAGAGGAAAGAAATTCTGTTGTCTGTGGCAGGGCTTAGTACATGCTGACAGCATTGTCTTTGAGCAGTTTAGTAAATGCTGTTTTGTGTGGATGCCAGTAAGATTTCCACAGAGCAATTGACACTTTCTAATTCTCTGGTTTAGTCCTCTAATGCATTTGTGTGCTCATGTTATTTTCCATGTCTGTACCTTGGGTTTTCTATCTCTAAAATGGGAAAAAGTATACCTATAAATAATTGTTAGGGTTAAAAGGGATAACAAACAAAATACCTGGCTCATAATCAGAAAATGAAATATGTTATTCAGTTTCTCCCTCTGTCCTGTCTTCCCTCCCTACAATTTGCCTCTAATGGGAGGCAGCCAGGAAAGGCCAGACATCTATGGAGACATCTGCTTCAGTTTAGAAGTCATATATTGATCATCACATTAACCAAGTAGAAAGTTGGGCAACTGCACTTCTACCCCCATGGTAAACTTTGCCCTGCCCGTTGTCAAGCCAGATCCTGTCAGCTCAGCACACACAGTAACTTTTAACCTTCCACATCAGTTCTGCCTCCAACATCTTTGGATATATAATCCAATCCTGGTGCCATCCCTTCTGTTGCTTCTCTCACACTCCCATCCTTTGGGCTGCTGGCAGCAGCAGCTGTGATCTAATGGTATCAGTTAATATAAAAACTGATCTGACTTGTCCAGAATCATCTAGGCTTTCTCAGTCTGAGCTGTGGCACTGCCAGATTTTTTTTGCTCTTAAATCAGTTAGCAACAAGTGTATGTGGTACAGTTTTCTTAAAGCCTCTGGCCTTCAGCCTTGGCAGAACTGGGATGGGTTGGGCCATGGTAGAGGCCTATGGCCAAATCTCTGGTATAGTTGCATCTTTAAAGGTTCCCCACCTATCACTTCACCTCTGCTTCCCTCCCTAGTTTCGCTGATGCTCATGGTAAATTCCTGGACACCTGAAGAGTTATCAGTTAATCAATTGCTACACATAGTTCTTCCCCTGAGCTGAAGCTGATGATTAACCCCTTGTGCTAACAAGCAACCTGAATGGCAGGCTTGGGGAGAAAGTTTTTTCTTCTGCTTACCCACTCTACATCAAACAGTAGTTACTCTTTTTCACCTTTGTTGTTGAAGATGCTTTGTGCTTTCCGTTATTCTAAATGTGTCACTGTACTAATCTGTCCGCATCTTTATCCCTTTCGCTGATCTAACATGTGAGTGGACTTTGTCATTTTCCACTCCCCCTGAAATCAGAAACATGGTGCTTGTTAAATGAATTATCTCTGTGATAATCAACTGACTTTGCAATGCCCACTATTGTTTCCTGAGAGATCTTTATTCAGGACCCTTTTCTATTCCAGACATGAGCTTGTATGCTTTCTCTTATTCATTGTGTATTTTTAATGTTGGTAAGTGTATGAGGTAGGTTTTACCCTACCCACATCAAAGGAAGCGTGGCTCAGACATAAAACAAATTGTCCAGAGTCCCTTGGGCTATACACTGCAGAGATGTTGTTGGGAGCTAGATGTTTGGGATACTTTATAACATTCCATTTTAAAGATTTATTGTATGTATGTATGTATGTATGTATGTATGTATGTATGTATGTATGATGTGTGAATGCTGGAATACATATCTAATTCCTCCACAAGAATAGCAAATTCTTTTAAACATATAACCATATCTCTAAGCCCACAGTGTTTTGTTTTTAACCTTAGCCACACCTTCTTTTCTGTCAGACATTACTTTGGGGTATACAAAATTAGCATGTCTCCTTTTGGCCATTTGATGTTGGTGTCTTTTAAATTAATTTTCTAGGTTAACATATGAAGTAATGGATGGTTCAGCATGCCATCTTCATGCTTACTGTGTTGTCACTTATTCCTCTCCATCACCATTCTTCCCTGTGCCTCCTCCAACTGGTTCCCTTTCTTCCCCCAGTTAGTCCTCCCTTTTACAATCTTTATTGTTATATGCATTACATCATTCTATTTCCACCTCCCTTGAGAGCTCTTCCTCCACTCTCTCCACTTTCTATTTTTGTGGCTCTCCACATAGATAAATCCCCCACACATGTGTCTATTAAAATCTAGGTTCCACATGTAAGAGAAAACATGTAGTGTTTCCTCAATGCTACTTTCTCTTATTGGTTCTGGTCTTACACAATGCAAGTGTGTAGTTTCTACGAAAAGATTCAGGACTTTTGGGGAGAATGAAGAGGATAGAATGCTATATGCCTTTGCTTATATTTGTACATTCGTTCAGATATCACACTAAGCAAAAGGCCAAGATGAAAAGCCATGATTCTGCCTTCCCTTTGTTCACAGTGAGAATGACCCATAGGCTATCAGTTCCAGCCCAGTGTGAGCTATGTTCTTGGGTAATAGTGAGAGCATTCTATTAAGAGCAGGGAGTAAGAAGCCCTTCATTCTGCCTGAGGTATAGATATTAGAGTAAGTAGCACACCACACATAGGGACCCTCTGAAATATGGGTTCAACAGCCCTGCTTTGTTTCTTTCCTCTCTCTGGTGATATGCTCCTGGGCTTGGAGGAAGGATATTTGCAAGACCTTTTTCAGTCACACAGCCATCAATTCT